GGGCTGGGCATGGTTGCTCACACCTATAGTCCTAGCACTTTGAGAATCCAAGGTAGGTGGATCACTTGAGCTTAGGAGTTTGAGACCAGCCTCAGCAGCATGGGAAACCCCGTCTCAACAAAATATACGAAGTTTAGCTGGGTGTGGTGCCATGGGCCTATAATCCCAGCTACTCAGCTGGCTGAGGCAGGAGAATTGCTTCAGCCCAGGAGGTGGAGATTGCAGTGAGCTGAGATTGTGCCACTGCACTCCAGCCTGGGCAACAGAGCAATACTCTATCTCAAAAAAACAAAAAACAAAAAACAAAAAAAAACACCAGTTTTGGGAAATACCAGTGAAGGGAAAGGGCAGTCAAGTCCTTGATATGTGGTTTTGGCCACAGATGTATTTCTAATGGCTAAGATTTTATATGACCCTGGAAAACATAACAAGACCCCCCCTCAACTTTACAAAAATAAAAATAAAAAAATTGGCACACACCTGTAGTCCGAGCTCTTGGGAAGCTGAGGTGGGAGGATCACTTGAGCCCAGGAGATTGTGGCTTCATTATGCTATGATCACACCACTGCACTCCAACCTGGGTGACAGAGCAAGAACTTGTCTCAAAAAAAAAAGAAAAGAAAACAAGGTCAGGCACGGTGTCTCATGCCTGTAATCCCTTGCACTTTGGGATCCCAAGGTCGGCGGATCATGAGGTCAGGAGATTGAGACCATCCTGGCTAACATGGTGAAACCCCGTCTCTACTAAAAATACAAAAATTAGCTGGGTGTGGTGGTGTGCACTTGTAGACTCAGCTACTCGGGAGGCTGAGGCAGGGGAATTACTTGAACCTGGGAGGTGGAGGTTGCAGTGAGCCAAGACGGCGCCACTGTACTCCAGCCTGGGCAGCAAAGCAAGACTCCATCTCAAAAAAAAAGGACCATTTTATTTTGATGCCTTGCCTTTGAAGATTACCTTAGCAATTTCATCTGCCTGAAAGACAAAACATATCATAAACAAAAAGAAAGAGGAACAAAGCTATGAGATACTATTACAAAGCACTGCTTTAAAGCTGCAGCATGTTCTGCTGACACCCATGTCATTCAGTTAGCACCACTTCCTTAAAGGAAAGAGGAAGTGAATGTAAGACGTGGCACAAAGTTAAGGCTATAGATTTAAAGCAGAAGTTGGGATATTAACAAGTAAAAAATTCAGAGTATATTAATACATGTAAGATGGGATTTGGCTGATAGGGGCCTTTACTGACTGTATTTGCCTTTCAGGAGTCTATTGTTAGCTGCAAACAATAGAATCCTTTCTAGATAGTTTAAGAAAAAAATAAGGTGGAGAGATTTGTTAAACAATAACTGATAGCTCACAGATTCTCTGGGAGGATCAGAGGCCAGAGTCTGAGGCCACATAGCCAAGCACAGTACCCAGACCATACTTTGGGTGAGGTGGGAGGTGCAGGTGCTTTCTGGACATTTGTCACTGTCATTGTTATTAAACATCTGTAATGCTCAGGATAATATGCCACATCTGTCCTACTGTCTGTGGCTAGCTAATTACACTGCACTTGAAGAAATCTGAGTCTCTTGTGGTTACATATGATTCATAGAATATAGGTCACATGATTGTATTATAACTATACAGAAATCTAAGCATGTGTAAGTTTTCTGGATTCTACATTGAGAAGGTAGTACACAGAATGTAGAATATTACTAAAATGAAGGAGAATCTTTGACGTGTTGTGGCCACTGAAGGAGAATATTCCCTACAGGAAGAAAGAAGGAAAATAAATAGTAAGCAGGGTTCCATACCATGAACTGGCAGACACGGTTGAGCCTTCAGCTTAGTAGGACTGCAATACAGGCTGCCACAGAGCTGGAAGACGAGAGGCTGCAGGATTCTTGTTGATCTCACTAAACTTCTTGACTCTCTGTCTCCTTGTCAAGACAGCCCGCCACTCCTCAGGATCTGTGGGTACTGTAGGGGCTCACAATCGCAGTCTAGTCTTTGAGAAGGTAATCGTTTCTTTGAAATTATTTATTTTCTTCCTGTAAAATGACTGCCCCATTGTTTGAAATTTATGTTTTTAGCTAAAAGCTTTGGTCTCCTGATAAAATTACTTCCAAAAAGGGTAGATATTATGTGATTGTCATTTATACCCAAGTGCAGATGACTTAAAGATTCTTTCCTGCAAGCTTGCTCCTTTCCTCGATGTTGGGTGTTCTGTTACTTGCAACTGAAAGCATTAAAACTGATTGAGTACCACTCTTAAATATCAATAACTCAAAAATACATTATCTTAAAATAAAGATGAGGCCAGGTGCAGTGGCTCATGCCTATAATCCCAGCACTTTGGGAGGCCGAGGCAGGTGGATTGCCTGAGGTCATGAGTTCGAGACCAGCCTGGCCAACATGGTGAAATCTCGTCTCTACTAAAAATACAAAAAAATTAGCCAGACATGGTGGCATGTACCTGTAATCCCAGCTACTCAGGAGGCTGAGGCAGGAGAATTGCTTGAACCAGGGAGGTGGAGGTTGCAGTGAACTGAGATTGTGCCACTGCCCTCCAGCCTGGGCAACAGAGTGAGACTCAGTCTCAAAAATAAATAAATAAATGAAGACAAGTGGTAGACTGGGGGCTGTGCTGTGCCATCCTGTTCAACTACCAGGAATAGGTTCCCCAACCTGCTGTAAGACCTCAGCTGCCATCCCTCTTTGGGAGGATCTTTGAATATACAGATCTGCCTCAACCAAAGTCACACTCCCTTCCCTGGAGGCAGCCCACACAGAATGACTGATCAGCATGAGGACATAAAGGCTGGGCTACCTATCCATTACACAGGACAACTCTCAATGACCATGCCAGCATGAGAGCTTTTCATATAGTCAGCTGGGGCCTTTGTTATGATTACATCATAGCTCATCTTCTCCCTCTGTCCAGTTCTGCCTCCTTCCCTTCCACAATTGTGGATTCCGAGGGCACCCCCTGATATACTTCCTCATGCCAATCTTCATTGCAGTCTGCTTCCTCACTTGTGGTAAATGGTGTTTATTAGTTAGGATTAGGTTCAGATGCCGGTGATCAACAACCAATAGAATAATGGTTGAAGTAGCACAGAAATTTATTCCTCCCAATCAAAGTCCATATCAGAGATCTAGAGGTAGATGGTGCATCATGGTTTGATACAAAGATCAGGTTCTCTCTATCTTCTTGTTCCTTTCTGTAGCAATTTGACTTCATGGTCCAAGATGGACCACATTCAGTATCAGTATCCACATTCTGAACAAGGTGGAGGAAGAAACAAGAAAAACCAAAGAGCATACTTGTGCTGTTCCTTAAAGACTTTCCCATGAGTAAATGCACCAAGAAAAAATCTTGTGCTTCTGATAAAACTTCAGCAAGCGTTTACTATGTCTTCAATTGTTTTCATTTTCTTGGCCCTGTGATAATCAGGCCTTACTTGGACCTGCTCTGACGTCCTAACTGAACTCATGCATACTAGAGTGGCTCCCCTCAATACCCACTTATTCTGTCTGAGCCAAATTCCTGTTTCCTATACTTGCCCACCATTTGCTTGGCCCCAGGGCCATGCCTAGCACTTAAACTCACCCCTTGATACCATACATCAGGAACGAAATGTGACCTACAGCAAACCCGATTATTATAAGTTGCTCTTTTTTGATCCTCCTATTTTATTGATTCCCCCCCCCAAAAAAAAGGACTTTAACCAAATTGCTGATTCACCACCAATTTCTTTTTTTTTTTTTTTTTTCGTAAAACACCCAGCTGCCAAAACAGTCAGTTTGGCCATTTAAAATCATTTGAAATAATGGTTTTACACTCTTGGGATTTATTTATTTATATATTTCTATTTCATTTGTGCAAAAGTGCTTTCAAAGAAGGGATTGCTCTCATTGGTTGAAAATATATCCTGATTCCCTAACCTTTTCACCAGAAGTTGACAGAGAATATTTAAAATGTGTAACAAGTAAGAGCATAGGAACAGAGGAGTCAGGATGGATGGTCAATCCCAGATAAACCATGGGGACTATTCCGGCATACATTAGCAGCACCTTGGTCCTGGCAGTGACCGTCTGATGAACATCATAGTGTTCATATTTGCAGGAGGAAGTATGATGTGATGGTCAAGAATGCAAGATAAAATCCCAGCTCTACCCTTTACTCACTGTAGAGCCACAGGAAGATTTGCCTGAGCAAAGCTTATTTGTAAAAGCTTGTTTCCTTATCTGTAAAATAAGGACAGTAAAGTCCTACCTTCAGAGCATTTATTGTGAGCGTTAGAGAAGATAATTCATGTGAAGGATCTGGCATAATCTGACATGTTGCAAAATGTCCAAGCTACCTTGTTTTCTTAGTTAGCAGATAGGCTTTCTTTCTTGAGCTCTTTGGCAAAATTTTTGTAAACTTCATCAAGCAGAATGTCCAATGTTACTTTTCATAATATTCTTTTGAGGTCAGTTCCTGCTCATCTGATAAACAAAGATAAGTTTTAATTGGTCTGGATGTTCAGTAAGCTAAATTTAATGTTTGGTTGTGAAGACTATGCTAGCCTTCTTTGGATATAACTGTTGCCTCTTTCCCTAAGGTATTTAAGTTTTTATTTTGATAGGAAAGTGGTTAAAAACACAGGCTTTGAAAGCTAAGTGGATTTGCAGCCCATCTTTCCCTGTTCCTAGCTATGAAAACTTGGGCCAGTTGCTCCACCCTTCTGGGCCTCATTTCTCTCATCTGTCAAATAAGTATAATATAATGCTGCTACCTTGTAGATTCAACAATATACTTTAGAATATCTAAAACACTGCCCAGCAGAAAGAAGAACCACTCAGCATTAGCTATTCTTATTTTGTTGTTAACTCTCTCAACTTCTTTTCTGAAGTAGAGGCAGTATCAATCATAAACTTAAACTATGAAGAGACCACTAAAGGAATTTTCATTCATCTTTTCATTATGTAGTGTTCTGATTTTTGTTTTCTGGTTTTTTTTCAGGCAAAGTCTCACTCAGTCACCCAGGCTGGAGTGCAGTGGCACGATCTTGACTCACTGCAACCTCTGCCTCCTGGGTTCAAGCGATTCTCCTGCTTCAGCCTCCTGAGTAGCTGGGACTACAGACACCCACCACCACGCCTGGCTAATTTTTGTATTTTTAATAGAGACTGTTTTTTTTTCACCATATTAGCCAGGCTGGTCTTGAACTCCTGATCTTGTGATCTGCCTGCCTCAGCCTCCCAAAGTGCTGGGATTACAGGTGTAAGTAAGTAATCACACCCGGCTGGGTTCTGCTTTTTTAAAGGTCTTTAGTTTCAATACATAAAATATTTGTATTTATTTACAGTTGTAAAAATAAGGATTCAAAAATACTTATATTACACTTAGATGTTTAGAGAACATGTGCAGCAATTTCTTTTTTGGTGTATAATGAATCAGATTCCCTTCATGCACTTCCACTAGTCAGGTACTTGGGGGAAGGGGAACCACTGTTAGGCCACTCCAATAAACTTAATCTACTGGAATAATTTAAATAGCCTCTTTGGATAAGCACTAAATCTCTTTTAGTAGTTTAATCTCTCAAATTTTCACCATCTTCCTCCAGAACCTCTCTTTTTTGTCATCTGGATTCGTAGAACAAGGGCAATAGCTGGGTGTTCAATGACAGAAGTGACATGAAGTCCTCAAATCCTTGTGATGGCATCTGGACCACTGCTTGTCTCTGCAATTGAGTGGCCAATCCACAGTGCTCCCTGGTGAGTACTCAGGGATGACTGGTCCCACCCCTGCACCTTCTCCTGACCAGTGCTGCCGAAGTGCGGTGTAGTACGTCATGGTGGTTTCATCTGTCAGCTTCATGAGAACCAGGTTATATTCTTCCAGACAGCTCAGCCTTGCCTGGGCTTTCAGCTGATGCTGAAGACTCCTCTAGGAGACTGCCTTTTCCCTATCTGGCCCTGACCTATGATGCCCACCTAAGCTGTGCCATTTTTACCATAGCAGACCCCATGGCAGGTCCACCTTCCTGATGCCCCTCCAGCAATATGCTGGGACTTTTCATCTTTGCCACCTGGAAACCAAGGGCAACTCAGGAAAACAACTCAGGCCCATACTCTGTGCAATCAGGCTGTGACACAGAGATCTTTGCTGTGGCCGCTCCCAGTTGATATAGAAACTCCCTCTGGAGCCCAAATGTGGATCAAGGCAATTCCCCTCAACATGGATGTTCTCATTCTGGTCAAAGCTCAGAGAGGGGAGACTAGGCCACATGATCCTCACCCCTCATCTCTCTCCAATCTGTTTCCCTTCTCCCCCACAACCCCCTGGGACCAGAAGGGGCAACACTGAGGCTTTCCACTTCTTCTAAGTCACATCCTCTCCTTCCAGACTCCAACCTCATGATGGAATCTTAATGGTAGACAAGGTATGGGAGAAAAAAAAAATAATCAGCTTACCAACTGACCATTTTAAAATGACTTCTTATAAGTATTTTTTGTTTAAATAAAACTATATTGCATTACCATTAATAAATTTTGTTTCTTTTATCCAGGAGGATAAAATACTACTCCTGTACTGACAGAGAGTAAGTTGCAATTCCTACTTGTCCTTGTAAAACTAAAAATAGAAAGGTCTTCCTTAGTTATCCTGCTAAAAGTAAAAAAAAAAAAAAATAAGGGGTTTTCTGAATCCTAAGGAAGATCAACTTAGCAAAAATGGAGGTATTAATAGATTAAAAAAAAAAAGCATTTTTATCTGACCTTTTCAAAAATACTAAATTCCATGGACATGCATTTATAACAACCTGAAAAGTTCTTTTGTCAATGAAGGTAAAATAGATTTCTCAAAACAAATATCTTCAAGTGGATCATAGTTAGTAAAAATAAACTAATTAAGTCTTCTCTTTTTAAAGCCTTGAAGACTTTACAAGGATAATAGGAAAGACCAGCTTTCTTCCTAACCCTTTTGTCTAAAAATGCTAAAGAGAGAGTCTCCTGTCTCCCCTAACACCTGGTTTTGCTGACTCTCACCAATTCCCTTACTCCAAACTCACCCATCCCCAAAGGTCCAGTTTTATGAGACTTAAAGTTTCATAAAAACTAATTTTTAGATCTGATAGAAAAAAATGTTACAAAACACCCCCCCCCCAGAAAAAATCTAGTCTAAGTGGAGATTGAGTAGCACAACTCAGCATCACACCTTCCTGAAGTTTATCTGTTTCCTGTGACTTATAACCTCTTCTGCATCAGTGTTCATTCTTCCTTCCCTTCCAGTAATTCTGTGGCTTGGTTTGTACTCACGTACCTGACTCTGATCACCAAAAATTCAGCTCTTTAACATTGTTTTATTTTATGGATATGCTAATTCTTTTAGTGAAAAATTTAAAATGTATAAAAAGTAGATTGTATAAGAAACTCCCAGGCTGGGCGCGGTGGTTCACGCCTATAATCCCAGCACTTTGGGAGGCCGAGGCAGGTGGATCACGAGGTCAAGAGATCGAAACCATCCTGGTCAACAAGGTGAAACCCCATCTCTACTAAAAATACAAAAAATTAGCTGGGCATGGTGGTGCGCACCTGTAATCCCAGCTACTCAGGAGGCTGAGGCAGGAGAATTGCTTGAACCCAGGAGGCAGAGGTTGCAGTGAGCCAAGATCGTGCCATTGCACTCCAGTCTGGGTAACAAGAGCGAAACTCTGTCTCAAAAAAAAAGAAAAGAAACTCCCAATTACTTATCTCCCTGCTTTAAAGATTATCACATAACCATTTTATTTTGACTATACCACTACCCATTTCTCCATCAGCACCTTCTCCAAATTGTTTTGAAGTAAATTGTTTTATCTGTCTATATATGTTGCTTTTGACAATATAACCAACTCTGTTTTATGTTGTTTCTTGGTTTCTTGGGTTCTTTGTGGAATTTTCATCATCTGATTATCAGTTCCTATTCAGGAGTTGTCTTCTACTTTTGAACTTGCCATGTGCATCTCATCATGATTGCGCCTTGCTGAAATTCAGTACATGTGAAGTATGATGTCTACATATAAAAACCTAAAATGGAGCCAAGGGCAAAAATAAAACTCTGACAACGTAGTTGAGAGAAATGATACCACGGGTGAGCCACCTGTGTGTTGAAGAAAATCTTTAATCTTGTGTAGAATGAATATTTAGGTAATTGGTTGGCTAACAGCTCCTCAAAATCTTGAAGGGTATATAATTTTTGTATTATATACTGCTTTAAAATAGGAAAAGCCGTTACTAACCACATCTTATGTAATAGACCAAAATATCTTAGTTAATGGATTTGCATTTTATCTGCTAGGAATTCATAACTGCCACTAAGACTAAGACGATTGCAAACTTTCTGTGACCACATCACCACTTTGTTTCTCGATCTTCTCCAAGGTAACAGATTCTTGTTCAACCTGCTGACTTACCTTACCCTTAAAGCAATAGCTCCACCCTGTGGCAAGATTGAAAATGTTTCTCACACTGTCAAATACGACTTCCAGCTTACAACATTAAGATGCTGAGTGACTAGCTGACTGGTGAAGTTTTTGGCCTCTTCTCAGATTAAGGCTTTTAAAAGTATAAAATGCAATACATAGAATTACAAAGGAAATCAATTATATGAAAGTACTGCTGTGGTCAGGTGTCCATGGACTCTAGTTAGGAAACTGTAATAGGAGACTGGGAACATGACATTTTGGTTCCCTCAGAAGCAATTCCTCTCTATTATTCTGTTAATTAAGGATCATTATTCGAGTGGAGTTTGCAGATAGACTTTCAGGAATCACATAATGGTTTTGGCTCTATCTCTATGCATATGTATATGCTTTATAAGAAAGGAAAGGTTGTTGGAGACAAAAGGGGAGTTTATATAATAGAAACCATCTACATAGTGAAAACATGTTGGGTTTTCTATCTAGGTCCTTTAAATTATTGAAGTTTAGATATTCTTGCCAAGAAGAAAGGATAGAGTCCACAGAGTTCTCCTGAAAGGGTAGTATCAGGGCATAAGGGCTTATACTGAATGCTTTTATGAGGCTTACAAAGTGAGGCAAACTGGACAATTAATGTTATTCAACCGTGCTGGGTAAATTCCGCTCCAGATGTTCCTTCAGAGAGCTAATGAAGTAGCTCTACGTACCACAAGAGGGCACTGTGAGGACTCTGTTGTCAGGTGAGGGGAGCTGTTGGATGCAGCCCCCTGGAATGGGGACTCAAGGAAGAGGCAGGGGTACAGGAAAGAAGACAGTTAACATTGCAGATCTTAGATTATAAGTGAAGAGTAGTAATAAAGGCTTGCCAAATATTTCAGGCTCTCCCATCTACTGACTGTATGGTAGGATTACTCTCCTTAATCCTCCTGTTATAGGTGGGACTGTATGATTGGCCCTGGCCAATAGCCAGTCAGTTGTTAGCAGGGGTGGTATGTATCTCTTTTCTCCTCCTTCTCCTTCTCCTTGCCCTCCTCCTTTTTTAAACTGCGTAGAGACAGGGTCTCACTATGTTTCCAAGGCTGGTCTTAAACCTCTGGGCTCAAGCAATCCTCCTGCCTAGGCCTTCCAGAATACTGGGATTACAGACATGTATCTGTTCTGCACCAAGCGGATTAGTAGTGCCAGAATTAGTAGTGCCAGACCCTCCAGAGTTCTCTTTCCCTTTGATATAGGTACTAACAATATTCAAGATGGTAGCTACTCTGTCAGCCCAGGTCCCTGAGTGACTACAATGGGCAGAGTCCCCTGCTGATCCACAGTGGATAAGTAATATGATTGAAAAATAAATCTCATCTAAAATCACAGGCATTTGGGGATTAATCATTACTGTAGCTTAGAATATACAACCTTGACTATCACAGCTAGATACTCAATCAAGTATTTTCGTGTTCAATCCTCTCAATAGATTTATTTTTTCCTTTTTTCAGATGAGAAAATCGAGGCTTAGAAAGTGTAAGGACTTGCCCAAGGTTATGGAGCAAGGTAAGTCCTTTGACCCTATATGATGCTTTTTAATTACTATGTTATACTACATACCAAGACCAGTTAGAATCTGTATTACATGTTGCCAATAAAGGAAGGAGAAATTCATGAGCCAGAAATGCAAGAGGAAGGAATACTGTAGCTAGCTTCTAGCCTGTGGATCTTGAGTCACCCTCAATATTTAGCAGATCAGAGTGCTACCAATCTCTTCACTAACTTGAACTGGATTCGTCTTCTTTCTCCACAAAGTCTCCCCTGCTTTTCCAAATCTTCTACCTAGATCCCTTGCCTCCAGTTCCTGCCTCCAGCCATCTCACTTCTCACACTGCCTTCCACATCATCTTTCAAGTCATCATCTTAGCTCCCACCAGCACCACCTAGGGACCTTTTCATATACACATGCATAATTCATGCATGGCCTGAGCAAGTATTTATTTTTCATATGTGGCTACAATGGAAGATCATAATATGAAAGACTATGATTTTCATGTTTCTATACTATTAGTCCCCAGTTAACCTTTTCTCACTTACTGTCCACACAACATTCCACAAGTCAGTTACAGTAGAGAATATTATCCCTTAAGTAAAACATTAAGAATATATTTCTGCCCCGAGGCCTTTGCTCCAGTTATTCCCTTTCCCTGAAATTTCTTCCCCATCCCCATAGGCAAAAATTCTACCATCACTCAAATGTTGCTATTCTCGTGTAGTCTCCCCTTGCTGCCCCAGCTCACAATTCAGACTTGATTCCTTGGGCTCTTCCAGTACTTGACTTGTATCTGTACCATACTTTTGATAATTGTCTTTATTACTTTTATTTATACATGTCTGTCTTCCCCATTAACCTGTCAACTCCTGAAGGGAGGGGCCCAGTATTTTGGTTTTGTTTTTTGCCCAGTATTTTTCTTTTTTGGCGGGGGTGGGGGGTGGGTGTGGGCAGGGATTGGATTTATTTTTAATAAGAAAGGCTGAATTGGGAGCTTACATTTTTTTTCCTAAAATTTAATAACAGTACTAGTAAAACCCTACCCTCCTCAGCTGACCTTATTTCAGGTACAAGCGTACAAAGCTTCTAGGTAAGCTGCTTTCATGATGTAAGAGCAAGACTGATAGCACCAAACCTATTTAAATTCACTGAGAGCTTGGAGAGGTCACATAGCAGAGGCATTTAAGTCTGAGTATGTTTTCAGACTCCAAGCATTTCCAGTGTTATTTTGTTTTGGGATTCCACAAACTACCTCCCATAATACTTAGTATCTAGCAAGCACTCATTATACTTTACAAGGCAACTTATTTTGATTAATTACATATTTATTTATACCACACATGTGTATTTGAGTGCTTACTTTTATTTTTTCTGATCCTCTCTCTTCTCCCACACCCCACCCTCCAATAGGCCCCAGCGTGTGTTGTTTCCCTCTGTGTGTGCATGTGTCCTCAATATTTAGCTCCCACTTAAAAGTGAGAATATGTGTTGTTTGGTTTTCTGTTCCTGCCTTAGTTTGCTAAGGATGATGGCCTCAAGCTCCAGCTATGTTCCTTCAAAGGACATGATCTCATTCTTTTTTATGACTGCCTAGTATTCCATGGTATATATACCACATTTTTTTTTATCCAGTCTACTATGGATGGGCATTTAGGTTGATTCTGTGTCTTCACCATTGTGAATAGTGGTGCAGTGAACATATATGTGCATGTGTCTTTATGACAGAATGATTTATATTCCTTTGGGTATATGCCCAGTAATGGGATTGCTGGGTTGAACAGTAGTTCTGTTTTTAGCTCTTTGAGGAATCACCACACTGCTTTCCACAATGGTTGAACTTATATACCCTTCCACCAACAATGTATAAGCATTCCCTTTTCTCTGCAACCTTGCCAGCATCTGTTATTTTTTGACTTTTTAATAGTAGCCATTCTGACTCCAAACCTCTTTTCTTTATAGAGTATCCAGTCTCAGGGATTCTGTTACAGCAACGAAAAACAGAGTAAGACATGCCTGTTATATCAGGCATTGTGTTACTATAACAGGAATAAACCTTAGACCAAAAACAAGGATAAATCAGAAAGATTATGTTTCCATTTAATCAAATTAAATTCATTTACACTCCAAAAATATACATATTAGATCTTTTAGAGTTGAAGTTCTCATTCTGTTGCCCAGGATGGAGTGTAGTGGTGCTACACTCAAATTCCTGGGCTTAAGTGATCCTTCTTCATCAGCCTCCCATGTAGCTAGAATTACAGGCATGTGCCACCATGCCCAGCTATTTTTAAAGAAACTTTTTTGTAGAGACAGAGTCTTTATGTTGTTCAGGCTAGTCTCAAACTCCTGGCTTCAAGTTATCCTCCTACCTCAGCCTCCCCAAGTGCTGGGATTACAGGTGTGAGCCACCACACCCAGGCTGTATTACTTTTTTAATCAGGAGGGAAAAAAATGTTTAAGTCTCTATGCCCCGTATTGCTTAGTCATTACTGAGCCCCTTTCCCTGTATCAGACACCACAGGGAACGTGTATTAGTCCCGCTTCACATCCTCTAAGCCTCAGCTCAGATTCCAGCTGTGGCGAAAAGATCCCTGAAGGCTTCCACCTCTTTGCACTGACAATATCTCACTTCAAGCTTGACCTTTGTTTTTCTCACTTCCTGCTTCAGGGCTTCTCTGAGACCTTGCTATGAGTGCCCATAGGTGTCTACTCACCACACACACAAACCAGAGAGGTTGTTGCCCCAACCAGTAGGGGGCAGAAGCAGATGAATGAATGCTTCTCTTGCTTGTTCATTGACACTTCAAGTGAACAATTTTGAGCCCATAGCAGTAACCAACTAACTAATGGAACTTTGTGTTAACTTTCCCCTTATTTTCTGTCTTATACTCTTGTTCCATCAGGTTAATTCCTAAGTAAATTACCTGCATCCAAGCCCTTACCTCAAAATGTGACTTCAAGGGAATATCCTATTGAGTAATTCAAAAGTTCCCATGGGTCTTAGCAAGAGAAAAATAGAGAACCCTTTCCAGGCTTTGATCCGCATAAGCCACCACTGAGATGTTCATTACCCAAGCCCACTAGTTCCCTGGAAGTATATAGTTAATATACCACCTCTTTTTGGGCACAGTAATATTTTCCAGTGGGGGAGCCTAGGTATTACCATACAGTCTCACCTATATACCCCACACCTGTGGAAATCTAGACACCAGAACATCTCCCAATTATCAGAGAACATCTTTCATCTCTTCCACAAACTTGGCAGAAATACTCACTTTCTGTTTCTATATTTTTCCACGCAAGGGCTCCCACCTTCTCCTCCCTGCCATCCTCCCTGCCTAATACAATCTCCTTAATGAATGGAAGCTTTCATAAAATACAAGATAAATCTTTGTCTTTGAACAACTGCTTTTCTCCTACTAGATAATCTTCAA